CATGGGAATATCACAATTTTCGAACTGTGTCTTTGCATTGCTGGGAACCGCGGCAAGTGGGTATAGAAAATGGGTACTGTGGTTCAATGTAATTCCTTATTAGATTAGTCTATGGGGTGTTATGGAATTATTTAATGGATGACACTTCAAACAGAATTTATCTTTCAACCTAATAGCACAACATTCTGGTCTGATGTTTCATAGTTCTATAGTTTTTTTCTGTGACTTAATTGGTGGTAAGATCTTCCACAAATCGATCACCGGAATGGGTTGTTAGTAAAGCAGTTGCTAGCGCACATTTATAGAGTTATTCAATATTTTCGTTCTACTTTTGTAATGCGGAAGAACTAGTAGAACTACGACATAAGCACTGCAGGTTTATGTTCTCAAGATGGATGATCTTCTTGACGATGGCAGGGAATGTTTGAGGTACCAACATATGCTAACGAAACGCATTTATGCTTTATCCAATGGTGCCGATTAATAAACTGACTACCTCCTCCCTTCTATCAATCTTTCTCACTTAAATTGAATAGTGAATGATTTTGAAGACGTTACAACTACATTTGAAACACATTTCCCATCCAGCGGAGCGACTGACTGTTTTAGGATGACTTGGCCTAGTGAATGACAACCTTTTTCACGCTCAAACACCTACTGTCTCACAATCAGCACAGACTTTCGGCCAGGTGTCAGCGATCCTACAGACAGATTACGTTTCACAGGCTAAAAGCAGAACTGGCTAATCTCCAGCTGTAGATGAGGTTCCTGTCTTTCTTGTAAAAGCCATTTGCGCAATATCTTAAGAAGCCTTTTTAACAGACTGATAACAAAATGATTATCACACAAAATATGTAGATGAGTCCTAAGGAAGAATACAAGAATGGCTTCATTATAGGGTGTTAGGACTCTTCTTCAACAATATAGTCAGTTCCCCGATTACCATCTCAACTCGATCGATAATAAATGAGCCTCGTATAAGTTGGTATGACCGCATGCTCTATAGTGCTTTGGTATACATAGTTCTTAAAGAAACCCCCCTTTATTAGGTGGGTCTTTTTAGCCTGATCATGAGGCAGAAGACACTTAGGTCAATGTTGCTGGGGCAGAGAGCCAGCTGAATCGTATTCACAAAGGCTCCATTAAGCATTCCAAGTTCCTACAAAGTTAAGTGCCAGCTACCTGACAAAACGTCTCGCTGACACCACAGTTCTTGTTCTCTATGGTTCGGATGAGCTGCAACAATTCCTGACTTTGGTGTAGGTGTAGCTATCAATCCCATCTCACTCATGTCTTTCAGTTCTTAAGCAAGAGCTGACTGATCTGTTGCGTAAAGGGTTTATGCATACCCTTTTATTCACTGACCACCATAGAAGAGGGATAAGTTTAGTTGCATCCGATAATCAGGTGATTTATTCCAATATTACAGTATACAAGATTAATGTTGTTCATAGATTGTCTATAGTCTCTGGTTACTGCAGTAATCTTATTCAGTAATTGTAACTGCTTTCATAAGCAACGCTTACTCAATAATTTCTCATAAGATATGGATAGAAAGTTTATTCAACATCCAGTAAAATAATTTCTGATGGTAAAATTATTCTGGATTGATTGCTACAGCACGTTTTGATATTTCTGGTTAAAATGTCGCTTTACTTTCCTAAACTACATCCACAATTCATACTACTTTCTCTTGTACTCAAAATTGCATAAATATCTGATTAAAGGAATTGAAGTAGTAATTATGCAGCACAGAGTTGATTATGTACAGAAAATGGATTTTATATTGCAAGACTAAAACAATGAAAGACTGAACTAGAAAGGGAGAAACGGATGTAATTGTTCAACTAGAGAAAATGAAAGATGATGGATACATTTCTCATCAACCTTATTTAAAAATTTGAAGCTTATAGACAGCACGATCCCACGGATGCATGACCTACTAAATATACATAAACCTGAGATGCCTCTTCACCCTATCCTAACCCTAACTCAACTCGCCTTACCATGCTATCACCAAATGGTTAGTACGATTATATCAATGTTTGTGTGACCAGTTAGCAAAATATATAGCGTAAGAGATACTTTCCGGTTTGTTGACAAAATAAAAAATAACTTGAATGTTTTTAAGCAGATGCATGGGGAATTCCTACATGTTTACTAACCTCACTATAATGGAAACCCTCGACTATATTTGTGAACCATTATTAGACAGGAGATTAAATACTGGGATTTTGATTTGGAGAGAACTATTGCGAAAACGTACAATGACTGTCCAGTTCATCTTCATCAATAATCTGTACAGAAAAGTTGATGGAGTGGTCCTTAAAAGATTAAAATGTTAATTTGAAGTTTTATTATCGATAAATGGATGATACTTTCTTAGTGTTTGATAGCTCCCAATGCATTCATTCTATTCTGAACCATCTCAAAAGCGCTCATCCATCAATTCATTCTGCATATGAAAATGATACATTTTCTTGATGTACTAATGAAAAGCAACAAAGATGGCTTTATACTGAGAAGCATATACAGAAAATTAACGTCTAAGGCACAGTGTACACAATTTCTTAGCTTCGTATGGATGTATTATAAATGTAACATAATCAGGTACCTGACTTATAGAGTAAGATTGATTTGTTACAAGGAGTGTATAGGAAAAGAACTAATATGTATGTGTGACATTTTAAGTGAAAACGGATATTCGATTAGTCCACCAAAACTAACATCAGACATATTGGTCTTAAACAAGAATTGATGATACTGGAGAAGAAGCCTTTGTTTCTGCGCATACAAATCGAGGGAGATGTTACAAGTGACATTTTATTACAAATATTAGATTTCAAGTTGTTTTTCATTGTAGACTGACATCAGTTGAAGGAACAAAGGAAACCTGAGAGCACTGGACAGCTGTTTCGTCCGACTAGTATGGGACTCCTCAGCAGTGCACACCAACGACTCAGCCAGGGATCGAACCCGTGAACTTCAGGTTCCGTGGCCAATACGTCGTTAGTGCGCACTGCTAAGGAGTACCATACTAGGACGAAACAGCTGTCCAGTGATCCCAAGTTTCCTTTGTTCCTCCAAATGATGTCAGTCTACGATGAATAACAACTTGAAATATTTTCAAATCTCCACAACTCCCTCAAAATATTACACTGATTTATTTGATTTATAACACACCACGTGATACAGTATTATTTACTTGATGATGTTTAGAACAGAAATTATCATTACTCATCATCATATGATTGTAATCACACCACTTTCGACATTCGATTTTTATAGTTACATCACCTCATATGAGTTGTCTTTATCGGTAGTAGAACTTTCCATATCTCTGATGTAAGTGTTGTGTCATTTCTATCACATGTGTTGCGTGTTGATTCGATGAACAAAAATTCAGTAATCAATCTCTCTCTCTCTTTACCTAAATGTATTGGACTTAAGTAGAGTGGCTTTATTTAACCCTATTGTGTGGTTGTGTGTTAATGCATGCATAGCGACAGCCGACTGTTTTTCTACATTATTGATCTTATTTGGGTCTGTTATTCAATATATTTAGATAAATTCCTATGTTCGGCTATTCTAACTGACCCCGACCAACCGGGCTAGTTTGACCTATGCACTTGACCTCATAGTTATTACATCGCATTTGATAGATTATATTATTTTGCTTAATTGGTTCTATCTGATCTTTAAACCAGCTGACAGAGTTTATCTCGGAGTGAGTTTGTAGGTTTAAATGCTCCTCCAATTCCAGCTCTGTTGAGGATCTTATGTACAGTTTCTGATGTACACACCTTCTACGGTAACACAATGGAGGCTGTGAACTCATTTCCACTCGTGTTGTCCTTATTAGTCGAACCCGTGTGACTGTTATTTTTTCGTTTCTTGTGAATATGTAGGAATTTCGTGATAAACTGTGGAAGATAATTATTAACTATTAGTGCTTCTTTTATGTGCTTCAATTCATTGTTTAGGTTGTTTCTGTGACTAGTCAGTTTTCTAGCTCTATCACTTGAACATTTGACTAAACCTGCCTTAGCTGACATCTGATGGGATGATTTGAAGTCTAGATACCTGTTGGAATGTGTTGGTCTTCTGTAGACAGTAGTATCCAAGCTACCGTCTGTCCTTCCTTTTTATCCTGTAATTCTTCTGGTTCACTTTCTACCTTCTCGTGAGTGAATTGGATTGCGTCCACTACTGAGTTTATATGTATTAGGAAATTGTCGATATGTTCCTATTTCAACACAGTAAACGTGTCATCCATATATCGCCAGCATATCTTAGGTGGAGGACTAAACTTTTGTAAAGCCATGCTTTCCTAACTATCCATAAATATATCTGCTACGATTAGGGATATTGGTGATCCCATTGCTACTGTTTCTGTTTGTCTGTATATTTTGTCCTGAAACTTGAAGGCTGTGGAGGTGAGGCACAACTGTACGCCTAGTATAATCTCATCAAATACAAGAGGGTGGAATAAAGCCACTCTACTTAAGTCCGATATATTTAGGTATATATATTTAGTATAAAGTATATTTAGGTTCGGCTTTATTTATCACTCAATAGTCAGCCAATGCTCAATCCACGAAAGAAAGGATAACAGGAATAACTGGCAATTGGCATACACATAGGAGCCCACCTGCCAACTGAAGTCGAGAAATTCGGCCGTGTAGAGTAACTGAAAATTACAAGTATCATTACAACAATTGACACCTATTGTACAAGATGTGGCTATCATACTCCAGTGGCTTAATGAATATATATCCCTTTGGAGTTTGAAAGGAAGAATGGGAATAACATCATTCACTGAGATGCAGGTACATCCAGGTGATAAACAAATCTCAAATAGAATAAAACATGAGTCCCGTATTACTTTCGCCAATCACCGACTTATCATTGATAATTACAGTAACATGAATATTATTTTAGAAAAAGAAAACAAACGAAACGGATTGATTAGTGTTAGTTGAAGCATTTTTCATCTTATATTATATACACATATCATAGAATCGTAAAGATTTCCATATATTAAACAGAATATTCGCATTATCATAAGTGTGTAAAGTAATAAACTGTTGTCTAACATTTGAAATATATTTTTCAAAGAAAATATTTTTTATATGAACAATTGGAATTTGAAGTTTTTCTAAAATAATACCAATTAATACATCATCAAAGGGGAATAATTTCATATGACGTAATATCTTATTCAAGGTAATAACAACTGGTCGACTAAAAATTATTGTTCCACCAATAGGATAACTTGGATATGAATTGAATGGGAAATTTCTATTCGAAATAAACCATTTACTATTTTCATTTCGAAATGGTACAGCATGTTGAATTATATAACCTCCAACATATCTAGTATATTCAATAGTATTAATATTTGAAAGATATTTTGCTAAATTCATTGGATTAACAATAAAATCTTGATCAATTAATAAAATAAACTTTGCATTAAAACAATGTAAAGTAGCGTATTCAATGGTTCCAATCAATTTTCGTGTTACATTATAATAACTTTCAATAAAATCAAATTGTAGAATATCTTGATATATTTTATGTTCATAAAATATTCTAGATTGTATTAATGATGATGTATTCCATGCTGATATATTCTGTCTACCAAGAGTAAAGTAAATATATGCTCTAATACCATATTTTATATAACATTTATAATTAGCCCATGTATTACGTAATGATTGGCGTAATTCAAACTGATCAATTGTTGATTTAATAAATAGTAGAATATTTGTTTCATTATTATATGATAATGAATTACATTGGTTTTTTGGTGAAAGGATTGTATGAATATATGTTGTATTCGGTGTAAGTAAGTATTCATAATATCCAGTATGATTCATACTATTATCAACAGGGTATACACTGTTATGCTTCTCGGTATATACAATAACTTTATCATTACATATCATATAATATATACCATTTATAAAAATTATTATAAAGTATATAATATTGAAGAAAATGAACAGAATGATAAAACCTTGAAAAATACGTGTTAAAATAGTATAGTATAAAGTGTAATCAATGTTTCTTTCATATAGTATTCGATTGAATGGATAACACAAATGTATGCTGAGCATTGCTACAATTATGAATTCAATTATCCCTTGATTTGTTCATTGAACATTATCTGTAAATAAAACATACAGCATAGTTAATCAAGTTAGCTTTGTATACCAATATGATACCCTGATAACCAAGTAGAGCTATAGTACCCGATAAATCACTTACTGTAATTATTATCATTATTATTATTATTATTATTTTCCTCTTGGGTTCCTAGTTGAACATAGGAATTCAGTAGCACGCCGTTATTCCTCTCTTTTCTCTGCAATCTGTTCATCCTTTCTCCACGACTCCACACAACCTTTCATTTCTTCCTCACATCATCGCCTCCACGTCACCCTCACCTCGGACGTCCAACTCATCGTTTCCAATCCAATACATCTCCATGTTCTTCTTCCGCATATTTGTTAGGTGATGGGTTCTCGCCTCCTTGGTTTGTTGCTAGCCAGCCAGCCAGCCAGCCAGCCCAGCCAGAGTTCCTTCTTACTTATTCTTATTATCCTTTCCGGTCATCTGATCTCATCTTCAGTATTGAGTGAGCGTGGGTTGCAGCTGTTGATGAATGTCTGTAGTTTGTTGGAAGTGCTTTTCGTGACACACCAAGTTTCTGAACCATCACATAGAAGCAGTGACTTGACGTTGATGTTGAAAATCCCTTTCTTCTTCATGCTTTCTGCTGAATGCAGTGGAGTGCAGTAGATCTCCACACTAATATCAGATTAATGAAAGCCAGTCCTGCTTTGCGGATCCTCGCTTACTTTAAATGTATCGTAAATTATCCCCTAATGCCATAAAAGACACTTCCGAAAATAGAATGCAGAGTGGGGTGACATGAATGCGAAACTGGGAGCGAACAACACAGGAAGGGAACTTGTAATGGGTAGAGAAGCACTCGGTGAAATGATGAATGAGAATGAAGAACTGTTTGTAGACTTCTGAACATTCAACGATTTGGTGATTGGAGGCAGTGTGTACAAACACAAGCATATTCACAAAGCGAGCGACATGGATTTGATTTCACCAGATGAACACACTACACTCAAAATCAGATCGACTTCATCTCAATGTGAAGAGAGTGAGACGCAGGTAATTGGACTCAAGATGAAGATGAGGAGGAGATGTAGGTTCACACCACTCACTATCTAGTGCAAGAAACCTGTCTTCAGAATCTAGTTGAAAGCCTTCTGAGAAGCTGGTGACAGATGACAATTCAAGTTCAATACCCAGAACAGAAAGTGAAGTGAAGGACGAAACTACAAAGTACATCTTCACTTCAGCCAACAGATCAAAATGGAAGACACTGAGCAACATCCCTGAAGGAAACTGAGTGGAATAACACTGTGTCTCTTCGAAAGCTATGTGGAAAGAAACCTGCATAACCGTGTTAGGAAGGAAGAAGAAAGAAGACAACGAATGGATACCCTCGGACACTCAACTCGTCCTTTCCCATGAGGGTTCCACTCGATGGCCTGACGCCTGATGCCCGCAAATGGTCTCCTCAATGTCTGCCCGATCCATCTCAATCTCCACTTTCTTCCGCATATTTGTTGGGCGATGGATTCTTGCCTCGTTGGTTCGTTGACGGCCAGCCCGAATTCTCCCTTGCTTATTCTCATTGTTGTTTCCGGTCATTTGATCTGATCTTCAGTTTCGAGTGAGGCTAGGTGGCAGCTGTTGATGTATATCTGCAGTTTGTTGGAAATGCTTTCCGTAACGTACCAAGTTTGTGAACCATATAGAAGCATGGACTTGACATTAGTGTTGAATATCTGGATGTTGTTCACGCTTTATGCTGAATGCAGTGGAGTGTAGTAGATCTCCACATTGATTTCCGGTAATTAAGACCTGTCTTTCTGTCTTTCCGATGCTGGCCTTGACATCTTCATCTGTGTCTGTTCCACTGCTCGTAGTTTAAGCGATGCTGACTAAGTGGTAGGTGAAAGAGATTACTTCCTTAAGGTTTCTTCCGTTGATGGTGATTGGTGCTTGTTGTTGATGCTGTTGTTGGTTGGGTATCTTCATCACCTCTGTCTTCCCTACGTTCATCTGAACGAAATCCCGTCTTCTTTCGCTGAGCTGCCTCGCCTCTTCTGCACACTTGTTAGTTTCCGCCTGTACATCTTCTAGTTTGTGCAACAAGACATTAGACATAAATCATCACCGAAGGCGAAATCCAAATCTTCTTCAGGGGTCTTTTCATCGGTCTTCTCACAGCTACTCATAGTTTGTTTGCATGATCCAGTCGAGTCTCATCATCATCATCATCATCATGAACATAGGACCAGGCATTACTGCGTACCGTTTCCGAGTTGTCACAGCAGTTCAGTCGAGTCGACCACAATCAGGAAGATCATCGGTGATAGTAGGCGGTAACTTCGTCTTACTCCTTCCTGTCTTCACTTCAAAGCAATCACTGAGCTCTCCATTGTCAATCACTCGGCATGTAGCCTCATCATATAGTACATACCTGTTGAATGAGGTTGATATGGGTTTGTGGCACTGAAACTGTAGTGTTGAAGCAGCTAACTGACAAATTACTTTTCCCTCCACACTACTGAAGACCTCTTCAATGTCGATGAAGTTGAGGTTGAGTTGAGTTAATTGTCATTCAATGCTCTGTTCTATGATGATGTGTAGCGTGGCGTTGCAATTTGATCCACACATGATTTGTTCTTCCTGAAGCCAGCCAGCTAGCCTGCCAGCCAGCCAGCCAGCGTGTTGCAGTCGTACTCCAGTTGAATCCAGAGAATTTTCATTCTAGTCTCTCCAGGATGAAACGGCTTAATAGTTTGTTTGCTTCGGGTAGATAGGAGCATGATTCCCTGCAAGTTCTTGCAGAGACTTTGGTCTCCCTTCTTTGGGAGTTTGACAAGTTGCCTTTTCTTCCAATCTACTGGCAGGTACCTTCCTTTCCTTCCTGCCTTCCTTGAAAACCTTCTGCAATAGTGGTGTGGTGTGAGCATGTCCGCTGTTGTCTCTGTGTCTGTGTTGAGTGCTTCTGGAGGAACTCCATCTAGTCGTGCTGCTTTCATGGATTACAACAACTCTAATGGCATGACGTTCAGGTCTTCACTTCTGCTTTTGTTGGAGGGTTTGTGTTCATTGGTAATTCAATTCTGTGACTGGCCTGCTGGCGGTATTTGTAACGAGACAGAGTGGGCAGTTGTTGATCAATGTCTGTAGTTTGTAGGAAAGGCTTTTCGTAAGGCACCAAGTCTCTGAAACACCACATAGAAGCACTGACTTGACTGGCATTGGTGTTGAAAATCTGCATCTTGTTCACACTTTATGCTGAGTGCAGTAGACGAGATCTCCACACTGATTTCAAGTTAATGAACGCCTGTCTTGCTGTCTTTCCCATTCTCGTTTTGACATTCTCATCTGCGCTGCCTGTAGATGGTTTACGGACTTTCGTCACTGTATGTTTTTTTCTATCAGCCTTGAATTATCCAATTACAAAATACTTTTGATCAGTAGCACGAGAAAAGTATAACTTCAAATTATGAAAATCAGTTCCAAGGAGTATTAACACCATCTTTTTCTCAAAATTGAATAATAGGTTAGTGTTATGAGAGAAATTCTGACAGAACACATAGAAAAGGATCTATAGAGGATAGTAAATTCAGAAATGTTATTTCATTTGTTTACCAGCCAACGGAGATGAAGTTCATATTTGGCAAAATAATGTCTTCCCTGTCTTAAATCGGCATAAGATGAAGTTGTTTCGACTGAACAATAAATCAGTGCAGCTTCTTTATTTATCCCGATCACTTACATACTTGGTCCAAGAGTACATCACAAAACTGATATTTGTTTTTCTTACTATTCGATCCATTTTAACGGTTCATCACCTAACAAAATGATTAACTACTCCCAATATCTTTCATTATGGAAATTTCCGATTATACAACAAACTTCATCTAATTTCTCTAAATTCATGTTGATATTCATCATGAACATAGACACACTTACCGACGCTTGACAATAGCTGCATTTCTCTATCTGAAGGCGGCATTCGACTCCACTGATCGAGAGGTCTTATGACAATGTCTCTCACTGAAAGGCGTGCCGAGTAAGTACATCACTTTATTGAAGGCTGTCTACTTGAACACTTTTGGGCATATTTCAGCCTATGGTGATATGTCCAGGAAGCTGTACTCGTAAAATGGTGTCCGTCAAAAGGGCCCACTCTCTCCATTCCTATTCAATTTTATCACACATATTCTTATGGAGGTCTCACTCTCGTCGCCTGATTATACACAGGTTCACCTAATCATGGGAGAATTTTTGTGACACCTACAATATGCAGATGACATAGTCCTGTTAGGTGAAGACACTGACAAGATCGAGAGTCTTCTGGACACTTTGACCAGTGATTTGAGAATGTTTGAGATGCGTATATCACCACTCAAATGTAAATTGTTACTCCAGGATTCATCTTCAACAGCGCCACGGCTAACAATAGAGAGTGTAATGGTTGAGTGTGTTGACCACTTCACTTACCTGGTAAGTAGGATCAGCCGTGGTGGCTCACTGACCGATGGAATCTCTACACCAATATAAAAGCATGACTGGCTTTTGTCAACTAACACCACATATGGCGCTGCCGTGATATCTGACTGCCTGTTATGGGTTGCGTGCACTGCACCTGCACCTGCACAGCAGTCCGCTCTGTTCCACTGTATGGCTGTGAAACATGGCCATTGAAGGTGGAAGACATGAGAAGGCTTCAAGTGTTTGACCACCGTTGCCTTCATAGTATACGCCGTATTCCGTGGTGTCACCACATGAGTAATGCAGAAGTCAGGTGTAGAGTTTTAGGGAGTAGAGGTAAATCAGTTGACGAAGTTGTGAACCTCCATCGACTGAGGTGGTTGGGACATGTGTTACTTATGCCTAGTAGCCGGTTGCCTCGTCACACAATGTTGGCTGAGGTGGGTGCAGGCTGGAAAAAGGGCCGAGATGGCCAGACTAAAACATGGCATCAATGTGTGAAGTGTTTGACAGTTGGTTTCAACCATGTTTTGCGACGGAGACTGGGTGGTTGGGATTGGCGGACAAGAGGAACCAGTGGTTGGAAACCCTAGGTGATCACATGGTTCAGAACCGATGTCAGTGGTGCATATGCATA